ATAAAAAAAAAAAAAAAAAAAAGAAAACCACCCGAATAGTAAATATGCTTACAGCTGTTTTCATAAATTCTGGAACAATTGAAAAAATTGCCGATGACCGAATCGATAAGTTACTGAGTCAGAATCAATAAGTACATGTTTAGTGTGTTTAGAAACTTATGAAAAAAGATTATTCTTGTCAACCAATAAACCTTACAGCCGATTTGAAAATTAGTGGGCACTTGAAAAATTTGCTTGTTTCCCGAAACCCTTCGGTTTCGTTTAATGAACCATCTAAATCTTCGGAAACTACGTCACTGCCTTTGAAACTTCAGTCCGAAAATAACGATGTGATTTCCGAAGAGCTAGATGATTCATAAGACGAAACCGAAGGATTTCAGAAACGAGCAGCCTTTTCAAGTGCCCCACTAATTTTCAAATCAGCTGTAACAAGAAATATAAAAGCACGATATAAATTTATAAAATATAAATATAAATATATATAGATATATATAAAATGCTTCTTATGTGTATATCTAAGTCGGTGTATAGCTTTTTAAATTGTTACGCGACTAATGGATTGTAGTTCATACAGTACAAATACCAATCAGGCTTTTCTTTCGTTAAGGTTTTAAGATATCTTATATCGCTCGTGTTTAGTGAACGTGGTTTTCTTGAAAGTGATGGAAGTTTTTCAATATCTTTGAAAGTGCTTGGAAACCCGACTTATTCCTTCTAAATTTTTCAACTATTTGCCAGCCAAGATGATTTGAAAGTTTCATATTTCTGTATTCAATCAGAGAAATGCATATCAATATGTAATCTTATAATGCCGTTATATTTCTATTAATCGCCTGATCTTAAATTATGTATATCTGATATCTGTTATTGAATCTTTTATTCCCAAAATCAATAACTTAACCGGATCGACGTCCCAGAAATTATGAAAATAGCTGTAAGTTTAGTTATGAGTAGGGATGTGTTACATAAATTACAATTTTACATTACATGTAATTTTACGATTTTGAAAAACAAATCCTCGAAAGAACATAGTACTAACTAAATCGGCTTGCATTATAGCTAATGCCGGCTAGCTTTGTCGGTATTATGCACTTTCGGGAATCTGTTTTTCGGGATTTGACTCAAATTCGATTTTACGTACGGTTGTTAAATTAATGTAAGTTACATGTAAGTTATTGTAACTTACACTATAACTTATCTGACTTAACGTAAATTACAATAATTTACACTGTAAGTTACAGTAACTTACATGTAACTACCATGTAAAGTAAGTTGTCAGGTAAGTTTTAACCCTAATTTTACATAACCAAAATTTCATGTAATTTTTTTCACACATACGTAAAGTACCAGATTTACAAAAAGTTTGGCCAGCATTGTTGCATAATTTGATTCCGAATTGTAACTCATAAATCACCGAAATTTGATCTTAATGTATTTTCTTTTAGATAATAAAAAGTGCAAAACTTTTTTATTTGAATTCATTTAAGAGTAGCAATTAATACTTTGTAATTGCAATAAAACTAAATATAATATATTATTTCTTTAGCATAAGATAATTTCATAATATCTCAAAACCCTAATTAAAATAATTAATTAATATCGTGGCTGATGCTGAAATTTGGAACTATTTTTATGAGATTTTAAAATTTTTTTGGGGTGTTTTTTTTTTAGCAGGGCTTATATTTTTAAATCGAGCTTCCAAATTTCAGCATCAGCCGCGACAATTATTAAAATATTTTTAAAATAATTTATTCATAATATACAGTATATATATATATATATTGTTAGATACAATATTTTTAAAAATTAATCAATTCACTTTCATATTATTTTTATTATTACTTTATTAATTATTTATTAATTTATTTTTAGCTACCATATCGATATACAGCATATTTTATTTATAATATTAACGCTAAATCCAAACCAATGCAAAATTTTAAACCTTCACAAAAATCTAGAAACTAGATTATTTTAGAAAAAAATATATATAAGTTATAATTTATATTTAGAATTTTTATTAGAAGCTTTTAGTATTAATTTTGGATTTTGGCATATTTATTAAGATTTTAGCATTACCTCAAAACTGATCCTGTCAAAGCTGATAACTTGTCAAATCTGATAAAAAATTAATCTACCAAGCCCGTTTCCGTTATATAAATCTAATAGTTTGTTATGTTTTCAAATCCGATAACCTCTTAAAACTGATACAAAACCTTTCCACCGTGCATACCGATTCTGAGAGGGTCGACTGTAGTTTAAAAACCTTATTCGTTTAGGGCTTAAAAATCGGATTTAGTTTCGGATCTCAGTCAGTTTGAGATTTAGACATCAGTTGGTACCCGTTTGGGATTTTAGAATCAGTTTGGAATTTGGCACTAGTTTAGGGCTTCACAAGTTATAGCTAAACCCGAAACCTTTGAGCAAATAAGATTCGGCCCCCACCTTTAATATTACGTTATGGACGTACTGTAAACCAGGCCTATCGAAACCAACAGAGTACCCGGTGTGACCCGATTTTTAAAAAGCTAAAAACTAAAAATCACATGTATTTACGTAAAAATTGACTCATTATAACTGCGCTACCAATCAATTAGCAGTTCAGCAGTTAGAGGTGCAGGTGTAACTTGTCGTAACTTGCCGAACTATAGTAAATAATATAGTAAATTACGGTCAATAATGCCGTAACTTACTATAGTTTAACTATAGTTATCACTTGCACCTCTACAATTAATTGAGTTGAAAATTGCCAATTAATTGCCCCACAATCAATTATTCGGTAAGCCTGATGTAAACCAAACCTGGTAATTTGGGACTTTAATTACCAAAGGTATTTTTACTAGACTCAGAAATTATGACTAATTACGTTGCAATCCAAATTTATTCAACACTAGCTAGCTAGAACGCGAATCATAAGTAAATCGATCAAACAACAGATTTAAATGTCAATCCCGTTCGGGTTTGGACTGCTAACCACCGCCGCAGTGAATTAAACTATTTACGGTTCCTAATTTGAAGGTGTGCCCAAATTTGCTTTTAGGTGACATTATAATCTAAACAGAATAGAAAGAAAAGGTGGGTAGAGCTGAATGAGCGAATAACACCCTAATAAATTTTAGTCTAATTAATTATCTTTATTAAAACACTACATTTGCTAAAATCTCGCGCATCATCTTGTGCAAGTTACACGAAATACATGCTTTTTTTTTTAATTTCACTACTTAATAAATATTAACATTTTGAGTGGCGTATATAAGGCACCATGAATTAGTGAGCCACGGAATCTTTATTAATCAAATGCGGTTTTTTTTACATAGCTAGACTGCTTATGGTAAATACAAAGTGTATGTATACTTTAAATTTTTTTCTTTCACAATATAACCTCTCAACCGTGTACTATACCTGGGGTCTACTAAAGGTTTAAAAATGGTGGTTAAATGAAATAGACCCGGGTCCTGTATACGCACTTTTACGGTGTAAAAAATCTTTAGATAAATATTACACAATATATATTTGAAAAATGATTCAAGTAAATTGTTATAACGGTTTAATTTAATTTAGACTCGAAATCAGATTTTTTAATTTTCTAAATATATCAAATTATAACAGGAAAAAAAATATAATTGAACATTTAAAAAAACTCTATAAAAGAAAAAAAAAAGGTTTATTTTTGGATTCTTTTTGTGGCGCAGCCTTATTTTTCGATTCCATTCGTATATACATTGTTATTATTAATAATTCCTAATTTCTAAAACAAGCATATATATTCTATAATAATTAAGAATCGTGTTATTTAAAGCTATTTTGTTTCTGTTTTTCTGGTGCCTTGAGTAATCACGATTTTAGTAATACCTAATTATTGAATGCTTGACAACATTCTAAAAACAAAAAATAAAGGTTCTTTCCTCTTCAAAAGAATTATATGTAAGAAAAAATGGTGGAAGGAAAGAAGTAGTGAATATATATTGTATATTAATTAAAATATAAAATTATTAAGTCTATATATTCTGAATAAAAGAAAAAAAAAAAAAAGCAATTCATTGAATGAACTGGGAGAAACAGTATGGGCTTATTATGAGCAAACGCACTTAAAGAAATATATTACTGTACACGTCCACATCCTACTCCCTGTTACTACTTCATTGAGTTATAAACACCTCTATTTTAGGTAGTATTAATGGATCATAAGGCAAATCCACATCAGGTATCTCTTCCCAATCCATCGTCCATTCTATTGGCATAATACCACCGATAGGTGATAAAACATATTTTGCCAATTCTTTTGAGCATCTTATTCGTTCACTCCATTTGACACTCGAATTTAAGGCACGTTTAGCAAGCCGCCCTCCAACAGGATCCCATGTTTCCCAGCTTTGACAACAACGTTTCAATTTTTCAGGCCAACGTTGACATAAACGTTCTTTTTTTAATAAAAAAAATGTAAATAAACATATTAGAGGATGAATTAACAATTTTACAATTTTACAATTTTACCAAGAGATGAATTGTAGAACAACCTTGTATTCTTACTAATCTCTCAACTAATTTAACCAACAGAAAATGAGCAGTAGCTTCATCATTTACAAAATCACAATCTTCCAAATCACGTAATAAATCTGCAATTTCATATCGTGGTCTCCAATAATCCTTAGCCTCCAATACCGGCGGACCCGTTTCCCAACGAATTTTGGCTATACGTTGTAATTGTGGGAATAAGTTGTTTGGATCATAAATGACGCGACCAAAGGCGTAACAACGTAAATGAATTCCATTTGGATCACTTGTAAGCAGATGATATATGTGTATTGGTGGGTGAATGAACATTTCAACCTTTTTTTTTTCAAAAAATAAAAAAAAAAAAAGAAAAATTTTTAAATCGAATGATTTTTTTTGTTTGAATATCATTTTAAAAAGAAGATTTTTACCTCTAATCCGTCAATCAAAATATTTCTTCTACATTTTCTTTCACTTTTGATAAGGACGTCAACGTCAACATCACTAAGAACATGAATAACATTACATGAATTAATAGAGGTAAGGTTGTGTAATACGATGTTTTTTTAATTGTTTTTTATTTATTTAAAAATTAACCTAACCGAAATAGGATTCAAAAGAAATTTTCTTTTCATGATTTAAACTTTCAACAGCATCGATAAAGTAGATCTCAAATTTTTACAATAACTTAAAACGTCGATCTCACCTGTGGGGACAAGCGTTTCCATAAATTCTGGAACCATAGGCAAATAATCCAAGGAGGTCGTCACCGAATTCTAAAAAAAAAAATAATAAAAATAAAAATAATAATAATTATAATTATAATTATAATTATAATGAATCATTATAATAATTATATAATAAAAATAATAATAATAATAATAATAATAATAATAAAGAGTTAATTATTTTAATCGTAAAAACAAAATCTCGTTTTTATACATAAAAATTTTATATACCAACCATGTGTTAAATTTACTAATATTTTTGCATAGATGCAATCAGTATTTATAAGTTTTCCTGTTAACGACCCTGTGGAAGAAACAGACGTTTGAGTCTGTTTCGGAGGCATAGAAAAAAATCCCATAATGGGCGAAAGATATTTTGAGGAAGAATTACCAAAAATTGGAGACATGAGAATTATTGAGGAGAGGATAGAGAAAAAAGGGAAGGAAAAAATAATTAACTAAAAAATGTGGGGTTAAATTTACGATATGTATGGGGAAGGGAAAGTGATGATTTGCGAGACAATTTAGAACGGAGCATCAAAGACCGTGAAAATATCGTGAAAGTTCAGATGAATTATACCAGAAACAGATAATGTGGCTTAATTCGCGCCACAGTTCTACCTAAGGAGTAAAAATCATCAATTGGCTGTTTCTTAATTCGTTCGTGACCTGTTTCCTGCCCCTGGTTTGACTAACCCATCTTTGTAATATATTTTTATGTATACATACGAATCAAAGCACGATTCTTTTTGACATTGTGATTGTTCGAACTATTATTATTTTTGAATTAAAATTTTGCGCAGCATATATGCTAATAATGAATGAATGCTAATATTGACGCGGTGAAATAGCTCATCGAAATTACGTATCAAAGCCATTGGCGCAAGAAAAAAAAAAAACATAATAAGAGTTAGTACAATATGAATCGTAGATAACTTTTTTGGAGTTAATATGAACTTTTTTATTCTACGTACGTACTCACCAATAGTTCAAAGAGATCCCGATTTCTCGAAAAAATTTCGTGTTAATTATTAATTAGTATTTTTTTGGTTCATTTAAATGCATATAAATGCGTTATCTTGCGCACATAGCATATTGTTACATCACAGCGGCATAGATTGTTCGTACGAAAATTCGAAAAAGTTGATATAATGTATAATCTATTAATAAATATTTATTTTTACAATACAAATAATTCTTAGTTATTAGAAAGAAAAAAAAAAGTCGTATTTAAAAGCTGACCAAGTTAACGTTTATGCCATTAGTATTTACAAGAATTCAAAAATGTAAACATAAATATAGAAAATAAAGGTTCATTACAAAAGGGAATGAAAAATTTAGATCTTATCAGATACTTGATAATGACCGTAAGGATTATTTTCTCTTCGAAGCGATGGGTCACGAATATTATAAATTTCGTAGACATTTGAACGAGCAGATAATTTTTCAGAGTTTTCTGAGGCTCGACGGTATAATCGAGAAAAATCACGAGGATAACTATGATATTGATAATGAGGATCTTGACGTGGTTTGATCACTGAGTTTTTTTTTTTTTTTTTTTTTTGTCAACAAAAAATGGTAAAAATGTAAAGATCATTGAAAAACTTTGTATGTATAAATCTTACTCTGCGAATTATTATCAAGTTTTGCATATGTTGGCAAGGCAAGAACTAATATGGCTATAATAACTGTCGCCAACAATACAAAAAATTTAAATTTCTTTATCTTTCTTGGTATAATTTTTAGAAAAAATTTCGTAGACATTGTTTTTTGCAACTAGTAAGAAGTCGCTGTTAGAGGCAAATCATCGTGGGAAAATACAAATGCATATCTTAAACATATATTTTACCTTCCTTTATAAAAACAATGAAAACCTTTCAAAAAAAAAAAAAGAATAATATGAAAATAAAAGAAGTCGGTAATAGATGGGATTTAAGACAACAATTACAATTTAAAATAATATTATCTTAAATAAGAACTGTCTTGCCAAAAAATTTTCACTTTACATAAACGGCATAAGTAAGGAAAAAAAAAAATCTTTCGAAAAAAAAAGGTGTAACATAATGGTGCAGCGATAATCATAATAGCTTTCTGGAAACTAAAATCACTTTTCGAGTTTGGTTTCATCACTCAGTGTTACAAGCGTTCCAAAGATGACTAAAAGAGGTATAACCAAACTTAAAAGTCGAACGTCATATAAAAAAAAAGTTAAGACATATGCACTTTGGCGCTTAATTTCAAAATTGACTAAACCATAGAATCATTAAGATAAAATTCTTATTCTTAAGAAGACAAAAAAAAAAGGTGAATCACCACTTTGTATGCATAGTGATTAAATGTATTGACGTGTTTACTTTTTAGAATCAAAAACAATGTTAAGGATTTTTAAACAAATATATATCTACATCCAATAATACGTAATATATAATAATAATAATAATAATACGTAATATATATATATAGTAAATAAATAAAAATATAAAAATATATTATAAAAAAACGGAAAAGTACCCCGATCACATCAAGATCACGGGGTATTTAGTATACAAGCGAAAACTTCGTTTCCGCTAATACCCAACGGCTCAGGATATTTTTATTGCTCTGATGTGCTCTCGCTATTTCCTTCACCTGGGGATAGGTTTTTTCGAGTAATTCTGATCAAATTAGGACTAGTGGTTGCATCGAAATCATCTATGTTCAGCCCCAATGTGAGAAGA